CATAAAGGTTTTACTCTCTATCAAATGGATGTAAAAAGTGTATTTTTAAACGGTTTTATTCAAGGAGAAGTATATGTTGAGCAACCTCCCGGTTTTATTTACATTGTGCTATATTTACTTAAGTGACAATACTTGAATTAAGTTATCAAATTTGCATATTTACTTCTCTAATTACACTTTGCATTCATATCTTGTGTATTGAATAATTTTGAGACTAATTGTCGAAAAAGTTTCAAAAACAAATTCACCCCCTCTTGGTTAGTTATTCTTGGGCTAACAGTTAGTTTACAATTTATTTGTTAACAATTTTTGTCCCCTAGTACCAATTCTTGCTAAGATCAAGCAAAGAGAAGGGTGAACACCACGTTGGTAATGATCAGTTCGGGTTAAAATTTAAATAGTACTAGAAAGTAAAAACTTTAATATTGTTTAAAATTAAAATTCTATAAACGAGCCATAAAAATGAGAAGTGCCTCATTTTCGAGATACTTTCCTATGTACACCTTCATCGCTTGTAGATTAGATCTGGTAGAGTTAGGGCTGGATATGGTTCGATTCTGAAGAGAACTAAATCAAACCAAAATTTTCGAGTAGTTAATAAATGGAACTGTTAGGTCCACATATAATTATGAAACCGTTCGGATTCGGTTCTGTACTATAATTAAATTTTTTTAACAGATTTCTAATGGTGAACGATCGGTGGTCGTGGTTGGAAGTCGCGGCTTCAATGGGCATTGGAGAGGGGAAGTCGGACTTGGCCATCGGTGATTTCGNGGTGGCTTTAATTTAGGAATGTAGATGTAGATTTTCAACTGATCAAATGATTTGGGATCAGTGACTAAGTGGTTACCGAATGAAGGTGTGAAATTAGAAGGAGAATGATAAAAATTTAAAAAGGCCCAGATCTTCGGCTAAGAATGAAATTAAAAATTGGACCAAAAAATTGAATTTAGAAATTGGGTTGGGCTAGTTAGGCATGAATTTGGATTGAGAGTTAGAACATTAATAATTAAATTAGTTAATTTGCCAATCTATTTAAAAATAAATAAAAAAATTAATTAATTCAATATCGAAAAATTTTAAAAATTATTTAAATCCGGTTCTTATTGGGTTCTTTGGTTCTGGGTTTAGACTGAGAATCGAATCAAACCCGTCGGTTCTCAATTCAGATACTCGTTTGGGTATCTAACTTATGAAGAACTGCTCAATTTGGTTCTGTTCGGGTCGGTTCGATTGGTTCGATTAGGGAGTTTTGTTCAGCCCTAGATAGAGTTGAGAAATGAGTTGAAATTCTGTCGTAATTTTGACATTTTCTCAAGT